GGGGGTCGTCTTGTACATGGGGGCGTCTTATTGTCGGAAAAATACGGTAAATGCATTTGTATACCTTGGAAAAACATTTACTAAAGAAGGGAAAATATATGGAGAAATTTTAAGATGTGCAAATGCTAGTTAACAAGGTAGTGGGAAGTACATGGTCTGTTAAGAGAAATCAAGGATTTTCAAAAGAAGCAAAAAGAATTGTGCATAAAAGTATTCTTCTGCCTACTTTGTCACATGAAAAGTTGGTTGTGTCAGGAAAAACTAAAAGCTGAATGGAGCAGGAATAGGGTGGTTAAGCATTGTGTACAATAAAAGAAAATAAGGTCAAGAAATAATGTGTGGTGAAAGAATATGGCTTGAATATACAAAGGGATAACTTGAATGAATGAATTGGTATAAACTAGATTTAGTTATATTTCCTTCTCTTTTTCTTATTTCATATCTTAATCCCTTGACTTACTATTTCTTATGTCTTGCTGTGCGCTGTACAATGTTGCTTACCATGAAAGGGAGCAACATGATAAATATGAATTTGTAGGAATTGATTCTCTTATTTTTCCCTTTGAAGTTCATTGTATATACTGTATTTTGTATTTATCAAGATTACATCTTACAGATTCATGCTGACTTGACCATTTTGTGTATATAGAAAGGTTTAAAAATCATACTCTGTGTGCTTTAAAATGCTTGTGTACCTGTATTTACTCCTTGCCATCCCACAGAAAATGGTGTCCTTGCTTGAATAACATATGTTGTAATGGGACTGCGATTATCTGCTCCTGGCCTCCAAGAAACCTGAGCTGTAGTGTCTGTTATCTCATCAATTGTCACAGCTTCAGGTGGACCCGGTGGACCTGTTATGAAACATTCAAAATAAACAAAAATATGTTTTGGTTCCCCTCAATGAGACATACATAGCATATAATAGCCTGCAGAAGTAGTCCACATTTAAGATGAAGACGTTGCAAGACTTTCCTGTTCAGTTCTAAGGTAAAAAAAAAAAGATATTATGAAAATATGTTCTGGGTAGAAGGAACTGCAGGAGATCCAGATGCAAATTATATTGTCCAAAGTAGCCCAATGATTTCAGTGTTTGATCTACATTGCCTACTTCTACAGAGTTTTCAGTGTCCATGATGGTGATGTAAACTATAACAGACTTGAAATGTTTGGGATATTTTGGGCATTACCTTTTTGATTTGGATCAATTGAAGTTCTTGGTATAAAGTATGAACTTCTGTTACAAAAGTTTTTTTGTCTTCTAAGTTTTTTCTGACATAATTAAACTTTAAATACAGTCACTAAAGTTGCGTACTTATTTTTAGCAGATGAGACATAAATATTATTATTTTTGCCCATATAAAAGTCCTTTAGATCAATAGCTGCTTTTAGAGCTCACCTTTTCAAAAGATTATATAAGAAAACTTTAAAAAAATGAAAAAGAACATTTGCAATGGTGAAAAATGCAAAATGTTTAAATTCCTAATTTTTTTCTAATCTGGAACTAGAATGTTATCAAAAGGAAGTTAATGAATGCTATAGTCTTTCAATGCAATCTTAATTCACATTCATACAGAAGCAAGTCCTTAAAGGTTCAGTGGTATATCTTTTCAGATGAGTGTGCATTACACTGAATCACTTATCCTGTGTAATCTTTGCATGTCTTCTTGGAAATGGATAGTTTCAATGACATCCTTACATTATTCTTTAGATGTTCCTTCTTTACAAGTGTTTGAAAAAGGTAACTAGAAAAAACTCTTGTATATCTTTATGCAACATTGCAGTGAGCTTATAAATAGTTACTATTTGGGGAGAGGCAAAATGTTTTCATGAGTTATTTCACAATATCAAGTTTTCTTCGATGAAAGAGATGATGTGAATACTCTCTTATCTGACCTGGGTACCTTGCTGCTGACCATTAGCACTGGATTTTTTGATAGGAGGTGAACTGTTGCCAAACTGGCAATATCATTAGAGCATCAAATCTGAGCAGTGAGGGCAAAGAAATCTATTCACTGAGGATTTCCCCAGTTCTGGAACATTCTCATTCCAGATATTCACCCACATCCAATAGAATGCCTTTGTTAGTAGAAGACTTTATTAGGAAAAATATTTACTGACTGAGGATCAGCATATAGGAATCAGTAAGAGCCTTCAGTGTATGTATCTCTGTCTCTTATCTCTTCTCTTATCTCATGTTTGCCAATTACCCTCCCTACAGTAACATAGTTGGGAATCATATTGGTTACATCAAACCATACCCCTGAAGAATGATGTGAGTTTATTAGCCCAATAATTGTACTTCTGTGCATATGGAGGCTTCATCCCATTCCCCTCTATTTGGTACCTTGTTTTTGTTTTTTTACATTCCTTTTCCCCATATCCCACATTCTGGAGGTCTTCCATTCCTCAGGAAATAGATGGGAAATCTCTGTTTTAAGGGTGAAATCATAGTGATGACTGAGAATTGAAGTCACAATTTTAGCTGCTCTTTTCAAAATGATATTGAAAATGAAACTTTAAAAATAAAGTAGATTTAACATTTAAATAGATTAAGTCAATCTTTTTTATTTATTTATTTTATACTACAGGCTATACTGTCAGGAACTTTGACATACAGTATTAAATAAGTCTTAACAATACAGCTTGAACTGTACATACATATTCCATAAATCAGTTATTAACAGGCATGCAATTTCTCAAGGCTCTCTAATGATTCTTGCTGTTAGTATAAACACAATTTTCTATGTAATATATTTGCTTTTTAAACACATATTTTGGCAGTGCTATCCTGAAACTTTCTTCCAGTTAAGCCATTAAATTAATAGATTTTGCTTGCTAAATATATTTGTTGGACCACTGATTGCAAAAGACATATTATTTAATTTAATTTCAGTAATAACATTGCAAATGTCTAAATGTCACCTTAGGCTGCACTTACTCAAAAGTAAACCCTTTGAATATAGTAGGACTGACTCTTTAAGTAAGCAAGCACAGAATTATAATTATAGTAAGTTTTTAGTCATGGTAGTTTTTTCCCCATAATAGTTCTTTCTATTGATCATTAAAGGTGTGTGTGTGTGTGTATAGTATATCGTAGTACATAATCCTATAATCTTCCACCATGCTGCTTTTAAAATGGCTTATAATCTTTAAGAAGATTCACCAGCTGTGAAAGTGAATAGTTTCAGTGTTCTTGCCGGAAGCACCCAACACAGTCTTTCCCAGAGCAGATTCCATAGTAACACATCAAATGTAAAATATAAAAATACAATTAAATGGGATTTGTGATGAAGGCTGTAATTTTTTTTTCAAATTGATTTGTGATTAATCAGAAAGCTTATGCTTAACTAAGCAACTTAGCTTCTAGTAAGGTGCTGCAGATCCTTTTGTCTTTCAAATCATCTGCAAGTTTATTTTATCAAATATGATGGTGCAGATAAGTTAGTACACTTAAACGGAATGTCATTTACATTGACTAGCAAGTTTCCGACTAAGTCAGACTTTAACTCATTTGTTTGATTAAGTGAATGTATGTTTTTCATCATGACTGAACAGCAGGAATGGAAGGGAAAGCTTGGGTGGTGTTTCCTTCTATCCACTAGATGGTGCAGTGTGGCTAGAAAATGTAGCATTAAAAAATCTGCAACAGTGCACTCCAGATGCAAGAATAAAGTAATTCACTGTGTTCGTGGCTCCCTGTAATGTATTTTCTTCTAAAAGACTCCTAATAAAATGTAAGATTATTCCCTCCAAAATGATGTATATACTTAAGAACTTCAAGTATTACACATTTTAAATATTTAGCAGCCTAATTTCTGAGTATTTAAACTGTTCATCGAACCTTAAATGGAGCATGCATTTACTAGAGCTACAATATATCTCAATCCCATGAGAAGGCTGCTGATAAACCGCTGCTGCCTTTTTAAATGGACAATGAACACGCTTTCCATTCTCCCACCTCCCAACTACTCTTGAATAGCTAGAATAGAGTAGGAAGTCTTTCATTTTGCTTTTCAAGGGAAAAAAATATATAAAAAATATACTGAATTAAACCAAAAGCATTATACAAGATGTAGGACTGATGTATATAATTTCAGCTGCCATGGCAAAATGTGAGTAAAGTCTGATCAGGGTATTTGATTGACACAATTTTATTTATTGCATTTGATTAGTATCAGTCATTTTATTCAAGAGCTGTTTATTCAACAGGCCCACATTTCTATTTTGTCAAAACCTAGACTAGCTTTGCTTCTGTTGAGAAGGGGCAACACAGTCCCTGGAGTCTCATACTTAAGAACTGCCTCCTTCCATATGAGGTGGCCTGCCCGTTGCAACCAACAATGGATGCTCCATTATCTGTTGTCTCAAATATTGTGGATGGGATGATAAAAGATGGCTTCTCAACAGTGGCTCCTATACTACAGGATATCCTCCTAAAAGAAATTCTGTTAGCTCCTTCATTTCATTTCATTTCTTAAATTTATAGGGCCCCCTGAATCTGGCAGCCTACAGTATTAAAACAATACAATACAGACAAAAGAACAGGCATCTGGGGGAAAAAAAACCCTACCAATCTCTAAGAAAAAATCATTTAACATACAAGGGGCCTACCACAAGGCCTGGGGGAACAGCTAGGTTTTAAGGGCTTTTTTAAAGAAGGTTGGGGTGAGGGCCAAACAAAACTCTGAGAGATGTTGTTCCAATGGATGGGCACTGCAACACAGAAGGCCCAATTCTAGGTTCCATCAGATGACATTGTTTAACGGATGGGACCTCTTGCATGTCAATTCTCCCTGATTGTATTGGATGGACAGATAGACGGTTCCTCAGATAGCCAGTCCCTGAGCAATGAAAAATGTGGCTTTTTACATAAGCCTTTGGACTACAGTATAGAAATACTGCATTATTGATTTTTCCCTTTGCCCCTTCTATGGTTCAGTTTTTGTTTTTCACTGCAGCTGACAGGGTTCAGTTTCTTTTATTACAATGTTTTACATGATCAAGTGGTTACATAATCGACAAATGTGCAGCCATTCCTAAGCACAGTGATGCTAAAATGAAGAATTGCGTGTTGTGATGTCACGCAAGCTCTGCCCTTCCGTACTTGTGTTGCAGTGTCTTGTGCAAGTGCAGAGGGACAGAGTTTGCATTGCAGTGTTGTGGCACGTGTTTTACTACTTGTCCTCCTTGCCCTCTCCACGGATGCTTGATACTGTGAGGTCAGACTATCCAGAAAAGAGGCATTTGATATAAAGAACACTGCAAAAGTACTCTTCACTTTACTTGTTTCAGCTTCCCCCAAAATATCCAAGCCCACATTAACCTTGCACCAGGAAAATAATAAATTGCCGCTAGATTAATGTATTGCTTTTAGAGTAAAAATCTATCTGACTAATGTTGCCTCTTAGCTGTACTGGTCAAGTCAGCAAATAAATTACCTGCATGAGTCAAACACAGTAATCAGGGTCTGCCCTGTGGTGACTGCATCAGTGATATAGTCAACATATGGCACTAAGGTCAGTGATTTGGGGTCACGCTGATTTTTTTTAAGAGCCATCATTTGCATTTTGTAGCAGCCGTATATTTACTAAGCAATGCTTAAAAGGTGGAGAACAACAGAGCAAAGCTGCTCTGCCACAGTAACGTGACTACAGTACTTGGTACTTGGTCACAGTAACATGACTGAGAGGTCACCAGAAATCTTATGCAGATAGTGTGAGATGAAAAGAATAAAAGAAAGGGCAAAAGGCTACAAGCAAATTATTGCTGCCAAAGCAATTGAAGCATGCATGCCAGTTTCCTTACCGGGCTACAGTCAGCCTCCTATGCACATTGCATGTCATAAAAACAAAAAATAACCCTCTCCCTCCCCACGTATCAAAGTGGAGTCAATTCATGCCTTGAGCAATATTTTAGTTTTTTTACCCAACTATAATAATTATTAGCATATGTTAAATAAATAATAAATTTCTCTCTTGTACAGGCAATCTGTGGTGTTTTTTGGATTACTAGTTGAAGTGACAAAAACCTTTCAAGCTGTGTTTTATGTTATTATTTGCAGTAGTTTTGCAACAACAGCAACAAAATTCAAATACCTCTTACAATCAGGTCTGCAGCAGCTGATAGTTTGTCCACACTTGTTTGCACCATGCAGATGTATTTTCCAGCATGATTCAGCTGGATGCTTCTGATCATCAAATCACCAGCTGAATCCTGCTGATAAAGTAGGGGAAAACATTACAATTAGTTTATAATGAGCTCTGAATATCATTATCCCATGAAGGCCACTTGGCTAATGGATTTCTTTTATATGAGCTGATGGAAATGCAAGCCATGACCTATTTAAACCACCTGGAGTCTACTGAGGAAGTGGTGGTCTACAAATAAAAAATTAAATCAATTAAAATAAATAATGTAAAATGCGCGAACTTCCTCAAAATCAAGACAGGAAAGTACAGCTCCCTGTAAAGGACACCAGAATTTCAGGTCAGTCAAGTAGTTTACCATAAATATGGTATCACTCGCTGCCAAAAAAGGGTCAGGCTTTTTTTGTTTTGCCCAAATGTTGAATTTGCAACTTTCATCGGTATTTGGACGTTTCTTTTCTGCTTATCTTTATCTGTTAAGTCAATCCTAACCCCAAAGATGAGACCATAACAGCTACTTGATTTTCTTATTGAACCAGAAACATGGCTAGAAGTCTGGCAGTGGCAGATAACTGCAGCAGAGGCAAAGTAAAAATAGAGCCAGACTTTGTAGACAATATTTATTGTAAGGCTGTGGGTAAGTTTGTATACCCTAAAATGGGTTTTCTAACTTTTTCAGGCCACAAAACCTATTTCCTTAAAAAAAAAAAAAAACTCCTAGAAGCCCTGCTACCTGCCTCTGAGACACACAAAGAGCAATGAGTCATCATGGGCACAAACATCCCTGGGGGCTGGGGCTTCTGAATGTCAACTGACATGCCCCAACCTTTCTGCTGTATTGTAAAGAAATTACTATGATGCCCCTCAAATGGACTTTTTTTTTTCTCGTCCATAGTCTTTCACAGAATCCCATCCAGTTCTTGCAAAACCCTAGGGTTCCATGGAACACCGTTTGAAAAACTCTGCCCTAAAGACAAGGTGATGAACAGGAAACCTTTTTGCACAGCTGTACATTCCTGCATAGGAGCAACCAGTACAGATTTCTGTTCCTACTTTCTCTTCAAAGAACAGCTTCCCATCTCTCACTTTGGACTTTGGTGAAGCTTTCCTAGATATTGCTGTTCTATAAAAAGAAACTGGCAGTCTCTCCCTGAGATTTCAGTATTTGCTTTGTAATAATACTTTTTTTTTTTAAAACAAAATGACAATTAATTCTGCAGCACGTTGACAAATGCTGAAGGAATAACTACCCATTTCTTTCCCCATGAATGCACAGTTTTACATTTATTACATTTTATTAGTGGTCTGCTACTTCTGGAAAACAGAATATTCTGAGAAATAAGTATTAGGATCATGTAATCAAGAAGCTAAATTCATAACATAGACATTAGAGAAGTGAAATATTTTATTACTGAAGTTATAAACTGCTATGGTTTGAGAGCATAAGTGTGAACACACTTAGGGCTAAGAATTGACAAGACAGACAATACAAACTCTCTCTGTTTCTATAAATATGTCAGCATACTGTCCAACTCTTTATTTCTCAACACGCATGATGAAATCTGAGACAATTACTAATAATAATACTTACCCCTCCAACTCTTTCAAAGTGATCCCCATCTTTTTCAAAGTCTATCAGATGTCCATTAAATGACCAAGTAAACACAATATCTAGTGGATGATCATGAGATACCTGGCAAGGCAGAAGAATGCTTTCGCCAGCAGTGACATCCATGCTGGTAGGTGCCACCACAAATCGTGTTGGATCTGTGAATAATAATATCAAAGAATAACTTATCAGATTTTAAAAAAATATAGATTAAAAGGCCTAAATAATACTTTATATGACATTCAGTCAGCATAATAATTTTTTAAAGCCAGTTTAACATGGGTGTCTTAACTAACATATATAAAATTTTTATATACTTAAATTTTAATAATTTCAGAAGTAATTTCATTATTGTATTTTCCATACTGATAACACAAATGAGGAGTACCTAAGCTAGTAGTCTGGAGAGGATAGAAGTAACTTTTCATTATTTCTGATATTAGAATCATAATAATGTCATGTTGTTAAAAAGCAAGGATATCAAGGAAGTATAAATTCACCCACACATTCACATAAACACACATACACACACACATATATATGAATACACACAATCACATGCACACACACTAGACTACCTGAGGGTAAATCAAACTAATAAGAATCAAATACATCCAATAAAAGAATATCTTCCAAGGTACTGGTGTTCAGTTATTATTGTGAAAAGACTTCATGTGTACAACTGTACCCATATTACTTTTCTTGTGAGCCCTAAAAGAGAGGTCTGTAATACAAAGACACTGATGGCCAAGTAATGATGATGGGAGCACTTGGGTTGAGTCCTGTCCATCTGTGCATATTTGGAAGATATATTTCTGAAGTCTGGATAACAGTAGACTATGATTCTATTTGGTGATTAGCGGAGTAAGAACTTCTTAATAGTGAAATCTTTCACAAGTTACTTATATGATTATTTTGTTTTCACAGTACAAACAAAATAATGGTGCAGAAAGTTGAGCCAAGGCAATATTATATAAATTCCATCTGTGTCTAAGGGCTGATCTGCATGACCAGGTTGAAAGTCTAACTATTTTTTGAGGGCAGTCATTCTCTACTCAACCCTAGCACACCAGAAAGGTAAGCTCTGCCTGTCTTTTCCTACTACACATAAAAAAGTAGCACTTTAAGACTTGTGCCAGGAAAAGTGGTACTGTCTGGTTCATCTTTTGTACTTTATTTTATTGTAGACAAACACCTTCAGTCTAATGGGCAACTGTGAACTGGAAGGAACACTCCTCTAGTCACAGGTCACTGCCCTTTATTGCCATTAGTCACAGACCTATGGGCTGTCTGTCTACTTCTGAAGGGAACTTGACCAGTTAACCTATTTTTCTCACTTTCACTTCACTGGAAAAGTTTTGCTGATGTTGTCGTTTCTTACAAGTTTACTGATGCAAGGATGAAACCTGGACTGACTTACCTTCCTCCCCTCCCCTCCCCCCTCCCCTCCCCTTGCTTTCCCATAACAGGTGGGGGGGGGCTAAAGAACAGGGGAATCTGCCAATCAGACAGGACATGAGGCCATCACCATGGCCAAAGAGGAATAAGGGGGTGAAATTTAGAAATGAGGTACTTACGCCAGCTTTATTTCTAGCTGGATTTTGGACAGGATTCAAGCAGCTTAAAGTGGAAGTATGGAAAAGCTCTAAGACTTCATTTATCATTAATTATTAATGAATTAAATGAAATGTTGGGGAAAAGTGTGAAATGCTGATTAGCAAGTTGTGCTACTAAATGACAGCTCTATGTTAAGTTGCCTTCTCTTTAATTTTGATCCAACTTACCTGATGTCATAAGTTTACTAGTCTTCCCATCCCCACCAGCAACAGCTGCAAAGCATGGTGTGCTTACAATGGAACATCTGGGTCTCCACCCACCTTCCCCAAATCACATTTCTTTTGTACTTGAATTTCTTGTGCTATTAACCTCTTCTAAGATGGGCAACTATTTTCCATACAGATGAATGCTGTTCTTTTGATCATTCCCATTGTCTGAAATGCCCATTTCTAACAGGTTTTAATTTAATTGCCATCTCAGCAATGTTCATGTTCATATTTGCACAGCGTGTGTGATTTCTGATAAGTTAAGAACTCTTCTGTCTAGGTCTAGGGAGTTGGGGCATCAGAACAATTTCCCCTTAATAAGCTATGTCTTAATCAGGACTAAAAACTGATAATAGCCAATTTGATAAACTTTATAGTACTTATAAATGAGCAGTGCAAACAAGAAAAATGTCAGTAAGGATTCTTGATTATCAGGTCCTCATTCAAGCTGAGGGAAATGTAAGGGCAAGTCTTCTGATGAATTCCAAGTGACAACAGTCTTTGAATGTTTTACTATATTGCTTGGAGCAAATATATTAAATGTAGAATTCCTCAGATTCTCCTGAATCACAAAAAAAGCAACATTTAGCTATCTAACATGATTTAATAAGGCATGTTTAATAAAATATAACAGAGGAGAAGCTTATTTAATGAACTGGAAAAACTCAAATGACTTAAGCTGGACATCCAAAAGAAGTAGCTCAGAATTCAATTCAGTTTAAGAGTTTATCCACGACATGGCTGATCCAGATGTTGGTCCATTATTGCAAATCTCAGCCCTTGTCCTTTCAACCATTTCTAACTTTTTCCTAGTTAATATTAGCCACCCTTTCTTAATTAAAGAAAAAAATCAGTATTACTCCAGCTGGCACCCTTTAGGTACTCCCAGAACTCTGCTTTTTTTGTATTTGCTTCTGTTCCTCAAAATTAAACTAAAAAAAAAACCCCTTTTGAATTAAAATATTGCTTTAAAATGTTTACTACAAATGGTTGATGTGCTTATACATTTCCAATGAGATTGTGTGTGTCCTTATATAATAACTCCTGGGGTTTCTGTGATGTTGGGGAAGAGAGGAACTTTTTGGCAAATGAGCAAATGAGTCATCATGATTCAGTTGTTTCAGTGTTTTCATAGGCATTATGTGAGCCATTCTTAAAATTGGTGTTTCCAATATATTAAAACTTGAGAACTGCCCTTAGGCTGAGCCATACTATTTTTTGGGACACAATACTGCATGTTTTCATCTTTTTGGAGGAAGGAGATACAATATGAAGATCTACTGCTTTTGCAACTAATTCTGATATTCGCATATACAGTTAAGTTTTTAGTTTGTTTCTAAATCACAAGCTTTTTTCCCATTGTATTTATTGAGTTGCATTCACTTTCAATCTTCTTATTTAAGTTTCCACAATGTGTCTTAAGACAACTCACTTATTTCTGTTGCTGATTGCAACAGTTCTAACTCAGGTGTCCTATACATGGTTTTCTGGCAGTACAAGTATATTTTCCTTTCCTTTTCATTATTTGTAACATGTAAAATATTTAAACCATTCCTTCTTTGAAAAATTGGTGCTGTCTTGC